GCCGTCGCCCATTGGCGGCTGGCGGAGTTGGATATGGCGGTAACCGCCTCGGCAGGATGCAGCCGCGCTATGGCGCTGCCGAAGGACGCGCGAAACCAAAACGAATTACTGTTCGAAGTTAAAATAGAAGATGAGATAAGGGCTTGTGCATGGCGAAATAATGAGGCTTTTTGTGAAAACGAGTTGAAGAATCTTTGCATAGCCTCCCGAGATAGATGAGCGTCAAAAAGTGACATAACTTTTTACTAAGTCAAGAGCAAAATGGAGTTCTAACGGATGTAGAGGGTAGAACTATAAATACCTTTAGCAGCCTTGGTGCAGGTAGAGCGTGTGAAGAGGCAGCTTCCATAAAGGACCACGTTTTGTTCTGTGCTTTGTAAATACTGCACGTTCAGGATTTGAAACATGCAGCATTTAAACTAGAGGACTTTCTCGTCTCATTCACAACAGAGAATCAGAGACCTTTGGCATTGTTTTTCATCTTTGATATAAAACCAGACAATGATGTGACATTAAAAAAAAAAAAAAAAAAAAAGAATCAAAAAAGGTGCCAGATTGATTCTCTTAAGGTTTCTATTGAGATCATTGGTTTATGGGGGTTTATTATGTTCTTTCTTCCCAGGGAGTTTGGAATAAGCAGTTGCAGACTAAGAGGCTCCACTTAGCTAAAGCAATGTTTGCAGATTTGGACTATGATATTGAGGAAGATAAACTGTGAGTATTTCACTTGCCTTTTCCTGGGTTTAGCTAACAATAGAAATAGTCTTTGCAGCCAAAACTTAATGGGAGTGGATAAATTTACCTGCTCCTGTGTGTTGGAGACTCAGACTTGCTGTTCAGTCCTGATTTCTTGCTCTCTCTGGGGACTGGGGATGAGGCATTGTTGTGTTGGTGATCAAAGGAGAACATTTTCTGTTGCTCTGCAATAACTACCCTGCATCTGATTGCAAAGCAGTGCTGACAGATCTTCTGTAAATTAGTAACCTTAGCCAGAGAAAAAAAATATTTATAATGGAGGAAAGAGAATTAAGAGACGAGAAGAAGTGGGGAGAAACTCAAGATTAGTTAGGTTTGTAAGGAGGGTAATACTGGCATTTCCTGCACAAGTAAAACGTTTGATGAGATTAGCAATTTATTTAACGTGGAGCACTTGTCTTGCATCTTGTGTATGCTGTGCAAGTTTTCCTCTCATTCCAGTGATAAGAGCAGGTGAAACACTCTCTAAAACATTATAGCCTTTCCTCAGCACCTAGCAATGCAGGAGGGTGTCTCTCCCACGTTGCATGCAGTCTCAAAAAAGGTAGCCCAGAAGATCTTTCTTCTGGCCTGTGCTGGTAGACTCTATGGCAGAGATGATGTTATGAGTTCAGATGTGCAGTACCCATTATGTTTTCGATTTGTATTGACTCAGATACCAGAATTGTTTCATACACATGCAACTCTGCTGACCATGTTCAGTTATTCATTCCCTGTCTCATTCTAGGGGGATCCCCACTGTACCTGGGACAGTGACCCTGAAGAAGGACTCTCAGAATCTGATTGGGATCAGCATTGGGGGAGGAGCACAGTACTGCCCCTGTCTCTACATTGTCCAGGTGGGCACTCAGGGAAGAAGAATAAACCATCTTTGTAACATAGTGTTGGCCTGAGAGATGGAAAGCATGGAGTGTCCTATGCTATTCATTTTTCTCAAAGTGGGAGGCATCATCTTACTTTCCAGTGAATAAGATTTCCTTACCCTAGTACCTAATAGGTGTGGAAGAATTAAATTAAAACTTCTGACATTACCGTTCTCCTTGGAGAGCATGTTAGAATTTACAGGGGAATGGTTGTGACATTCTCAACATCAAGAAATCCTGCGTTTGAGGAAGTGTGTCCTGGAGGCAAGAACTTCCTGAGAGAACAAGATGATCATCCCACCTCTTAGTTAGGAAAGAGGAAAAACTGCAGCTTCACTGTGAACAAAATACAACTGAGTTAAATAGGAGGACTAAAATTGTCCCTTTTTTGTTCTTTAGCTCTGTATTCACCTTTCTCTTCCTCTTGATTCCAGACTACCTGTGCTCTTTCTCCTCTCTGCTAGGTATTTGATAACACTCCAGCAGCCTTAGATGGCACTGTAGCAGCTGGTGATGAAATCACAGGAGTGAATGGGAAGTCTGTCAAAGGAAAGACCAAAGTGGAGGTGGCCAAGATGATACAGATGGTAAAGGTGAGAGGTAGGAGGGGCCACTGGAGCTTCTGGGTCATAGCTGACAGTTTATTGTCCATTGGTAAAGGAAGCCACTGCTACTTGCTTCCAGCACAGCAGTTTTGGATTTGCTCTTTCTACAGGGAGAAGTGACGATACACTACAACAAGCTTCAAGCTGACCCAAAGCAGGGCAAGTCTTTGGATATTGGTAAGATTGGTTTCTTTTTTTCCCAGAGTGTTAAAATGACACAGAGAGTTGAAAGAGTGGTCCCAACTAAAACCAAAGTAAAATTCTGGTTCCATTCTTCCTCTTAACTCAGTCACTGTCAAACAGATCCTGTCAAAGAGTATTACAGGTTTCAAAAAAATCTTTCCCTGACTTCTTGAAATAGTCCTGAAAGTTAAATTGACCGTTGTTGCAGGAGGCTTGTTTTTCTGTGCTGTGTTTAGCATGGATGAAACTCAATGAGATAATAATTTAATTTATTTTTAATACATGTAAATTATGCTGACCTATTGAGATTTTCAGCTGTATGCAGAAATGTGTCTACTGAAAAACACTAGTTGCTGTTTCTCAGCTTGGAGAACAGTGATGAAATGCTTATTTACACTGAGTTTTTTACAACTGTAAATTTTACAGGAGAGAGGAGAGGCTTTATTTCTAAGACAAAGGGTGTGTTTTGAACTAAGCCTCACAGCTATTTACTTTATATGGTCTACCTTTCTCACTTTCCTAAAAAATTCTGTCTATTCATTGTGCTTTCATTTCATTTCATGGTGATTAAGGTGATAATGAATTGACAGGGGTTCAGTAAAATTGTGAGGAGTGAGATTGATTTCTGGGGAAACAGAAGTGTGGTGAGAATATGATATTTTCCAGAGATGCTGAACACTGTGGCTCCAGCTGAGTTCTTGGGAGCTGCAGGCACTTGGCATCCCAGCAAGTTTGCCTCTGAATAAACATAGCTGAGTCATGTGATTCCAAAGAGGGCATAACTGTCTCTAGTAACTTGCAGTGTATGACCACCAAAGACAGAAATTCCATCAAGGTCTGACAAAAGCATTTAACTAAGATCCAAAGGATAAAAGTAAGCAAAGGGATAACTTTGAGCATGAAATCCTATTTGTCTTGCTTTCAGCCTGGTGTCCTAACTTCAGTTCAAGTAATACAGCAAGTAGCATAAGCAAAGTTTAGTTCCAAATACCATGATAGGTAGCTTATAGCAAAGTGATTGGAATGGTCTTCCAGAATAAGTACTAGAGCGCTATTGATTGAAGTATGTAAGATGTGAGAGCAGAATAGTCAAGATAGAAGATGTGCTATATATAGCTGGACTGAACAACTAAGTTCTATGGTATTCTTTTTATGATCACTACCTCAGTGGTGAGTTAAGTTCAGACTGGCCAGCTTATTCAATGCCTGAGAAAGCGGTAAAGTATGCTAGTGTGCTTTTCATGCCCACAGAAATGTCTCTGATCCTGGTTTGCAACTCTCTTTTGGCCTTTAGTATTGAAGAAGGTAAAGCATCGACTGGTAGAGAACATGAGCTCAGGGACGGCAGATGCCCTGGGGTTAAGCCGAGCCATACTTTGCAATGGTAAGTATTGTCCAGGAGGACATTTTCTTAAGGGAACACTTATCCTTTTGTGCTTACCTACTTTTTATTGTTCCTTGCATGTTCCACATAATTCCTTCATAATCCTTTCCTTCCACTATGCCTCACTGCTGTGATTGCCTCTGCCCTTCCTGAGTGATATATCCTGTTATTGGGGCCATTTAAATGCTAGCTAAGGTCAAGTTAATAGATCAAATTAAGTGGAGACCAACTCAGTGAATGCCAGTAGGTGACCCCACACTGTAAAATAAGTTTGCAATTATTTTAAAAGCTTCCCATGTTGGACCAGGGGACAGGCATTAAGAGATGAGGAAAATTTGAACCAAAATTATGAAACTGGTGTTTTTTCCAGTTGATCAGGTCTTAACCATGTCCTGGATTTGACTGTTGTAGTTCTGTATTCTGATTCTTGTTTCCATGTAGATGGACTGGTGAAGAGATTGGAGGAGCTAGAGAGGACTGCAGAGTTATACAAAGGTAAACTGTCTTGCATCAGACACTAGATGGGAGGGAAGGATGCTTCTGTTGTGTTTCGGTGAAATAACTTAAATGCTTTTTCTGGCTTCCATCACAGGCTTGACAGAGCACACCAAGAGTCTTCTCAGAGCTTTCTTTGAGCTATCCCAGACACACAGAGGTAAAGAGTGAGAGTGAAGGGAGCAGCTTTCTCTGACCTCTAGTTTCAGTTTTCGTCATTACTTAGACGTGTGGTTCCCTTACCCAAAGAAAACTAAGTGTTGCAGAACTGATCTGGGAAGGGCTGCCCTGGTGTTAGTGGTGACAGTGCTAACACAGGCCTTGCCTTTCACATGAGACACTGAAGAAATGCCCTGCCAGCTTCTGGTCTTCAGGGAATATGTAACATTGTTCCCCAGCCGAGTGCAAGGTTATGGGAAGGAGTTGTAACACTGGAGGGAAGATTCTTCTCCGGGGCCAACTTCTTTCATGTTTTGTATTTATTCCAGCATTTGGAGATGTTTTCTCTGTCATTGGTGTACGGGAGCCTCAACCAGCTGCCAGTGAAGCCTTTGTGAAATTTGCTGATGCCCATCGCAACATTGAGAAGTTTGGGATTCACCTTCTGAAAACAATTAAGCCGGTAAAGAATTTAACTGTAGGAGTAAAGGGTCTGGAGATGAGGGGCATCTAGAAGGACAGAAGCCTGTCTTTAAAGGTGTGGTCTTAAAGGTCATCTATTGTGGGAAGAACTGTCTTTGCTTTCCTTCAGGGAAATCTCTTCATAAAGAACCTAAGGGGTAATGTAGTGAATATATCAATCTTGTCCCTTTGACTTCTGCACATGAGTATATTTCTGTCCTTTTGGGGATGAGGGAGTAGTTTGATCAGGATAGTCCCTAGAGCCCTTTCCCTGATATTGGTACCCATAATTGAAAGATATCACTAAATTTAAAAGAGTTTAGATAAGCAGTCCAGGAGCAATTTAAGGATTTCAATCAATATATTTGAGTGAGAGTCTCCAGGGGACCTGTCCAATCAGTTTAGCAAAGAGAGATTAGGTGTTGATTTGGGTGCCACTTTCAGTGCCGTGTTGGATGGACAGTGTTGGGTAGTGGGCCTTTTGAACCAGACCAATTGACAGTGAAAAAAGTGAGTTGAAAAAAGATTAATTCGGACTAGAAGTGAGGCATGCATTTCTAACACTCGAACCACTTGCCAGTGACAGTAATGGATCCTCTATCCCTGGCAATTGTGAGTCAAGATCCAACGTTTTCTTTCAAATATGCTCTAGCTCAAAAAAGTTAACTCAAGGTCAGTCTCATGACCTGTGCTGGTTAGAAGGTTGCAGCTGATGAATTGTAGTCATGCTTTTTGGTCTTATATTCAGCAACAGGATGCTTGCCTTGCAGATGCTTACTGACTTGAATACATATTTGAATAAAGCCATTCCTGACACAAGGCTGACTATCAAAAAGTACCTGGATGTCAAGTTTGAATATTTGGTGAGCCACTTTTTTTTTTTTTTTAAGTACTGGTTGAAATTAAGTTTTGTAGAATCATAGCCTGAAAGTCACATATATGATGTGATGTCACATATATGATCACACATCTATCCTTCCACAATCCATGTGAGAATGCTTTTTTTTTTTTTTCTTCTAATCCTTTGTCTATTGCCAGATTACTCAGATTCAGATACCTGCTTTTAACCTAATAGTTCTCACAGGTAAGAAAGGTCTCCCAGAATCCAGATGACTTATTTTGTACATGACTGAATTAATTTCCTCATTTATTTGTAGAGTTCCTATGCAACTTATGTTCTTGAACTCCACTGAATAGCTCTTCAGTCCATATTTTTCAGGTAGTTTGGGATAGTCTTTCTTTAGCCAAATTAAACAACTGTCAAATCATACTTGCTTTCATTTAGACCGTGCCTCTTTTAAACTCCTCCATTCCGCTCAGCCCTTGTTTTCTACACCCAAAAACGGTAGGATTGTTAAGTGCATCTGTTTTCTAACTGTAGGAATCTATTTCCTTTTACTAGTTGAGAGAAGTATTTGGAACTCAGCCCTAAGGCAAGTGAATATGGCAGCATCTCTTCCCACATGTCCTTCACCCAGTTCATCTTTTTTTTCCCCCCTCTTATTTATTGCTTCCTCATAATTTTCTGGTACTGTGTTTTCCCAAACAGTAGATGAACACAGGACTTTTCTCCTACTTAGGTTATACTTATCCAAAGTATTTGCTCCTGTAATATATATAATGAGTGCCTTTTCTCTCCCCATCTTTAAACAGATTTTCTTTCCACCTGGAATGTTTAATATACTCTTATCCCACTGTGCTTTCCCCAGTGTCCCTAGCTGCAGCATTGAAGGAAGGCTTGAAATGGTACAACCCTATGGCTATGGGTGATGATGAAATTGATTCTAATTCTTAGTATTTCCTTCTTTTTTTTTCTTTTTTAAAAATTTGTTTTAAATTCTGCGAAGTCTTACTGCCTGAAAGTCAAAGAGATGGATGATGAAGAGTACAGCTGCATTGTGAGTACCAGTACTGTGGCAATGACAACTGCATACTCTCCTTTCTGCAGCTTCCCTGTGCACACTGCCTTATTAATGTGAAAGCACTCCTGTGCTTGTGTGCACCCGAACTAGTGAATACATCCCAAGAATTATATACATTTGTTCTTAACATATTAGAAACTGGAGATCCTTAAATGCTACCTAGGAAACCCTGCCAATAGCTGTCATGAATTACTGATGCTGTGGAGTATTAGAGGGACCAGAAATCTCTGCAGCTTGTTTGCTCGGTGATCGCCTGTCTCAGTGTTTAAGTAATACTAGCTTGTGTAAAACGGATTAAGGTGTTAATCTTCACAGATTCTATTTGTGTGTAGTGTACAGCTTATCATTAATTCTGGAGTGTTTCTGAGAAATGGACATTTCACTTCTCTAGCAAAATGTGTACGAAAATTGCATTTGTAGTTGAGAAAAATTTATTAACAATAGGGTTTTTCCTAAAAACGGGTAATTTAAAATCAGAACTTAAAAAAAAACCCCATTCTTCAGTAACAGTTTGCTGTCTGGTATAGAGTTTTGCAGTTAATCCTTAACAGCTCTAAGATAGCTAAAAATGTCCCCTCCAGTTTCCCTGCATAAAAGTAAAATCTTGTTTTATCCTAGGTATTAATCCCAGAACAGGGGCTTGAGTTTTTGGAATACCGAATTCCCAGTGCCAGGAAGGAATAAAACTTCCCTAACACAACATTTAATTATATCTTTCCTGCTAAATGAAAAGGAAAGAATCCCAGTCTTGCCCAGCAGAGCAACATCTTTGGGCTTGGCAGATGCAGTGTGCATTACCAAGCCAGAGTCAGTAACAGATTTTTACATATGTTATCTCTACAGGTGCAAGAGAAGAATGCTGTTCTCCTGACAGACCTAAACCCTTTCTCTCAAAATATTGTGTGGAACAATATATAGTTCCCTCCCTGCTGGTTTCCAGCGTTGTGTCTAGATATCACAGGGTTCGTTAAGTGTATATGTCATGCAATCCATATAGGGTGAAGCTTGCAGAGGAGGGCAGAACTTTTTGTGTGATGATCTAAATTAATATATCCTTCATATGCTAGACTTGTTTCTTCATAGTGCCTGTCTTAATAGTTCAGATAAGAAGTCATGCCTGTTCTCCGTGCTGGGTTGGAAGGTGCCTGTCCTTTTGTCCTTGCTTACGGTGGTTGGCATGTATTTGGCCTTCAAAACAGCCCCATTGACTACCAGTTGTTGACGTGGCTCAGCATTCCTCATGTTTTGTGCTTCCTGACTGCAGTTCCAGTGAGCCTGAGAGGGCTGTAATAACCCAAGGTCATTGTGAGTCCACTTCAGTAGGCAAGCTCTCTGTACAAGCACGGTTGTGGGAGTCTAAAATGTGGCCGTGTCTTTGGCAGGCTCTGGGGGAACCCCTCTACCGGGTCAGCACTGGGAACTATGAATACCGCCTTATCCTGCGTTGCCGGCAGGAGGCTCGCACACGCTTTGCCAAGATGAGAAAGGACGTGCTAGAGAAAATAGAGCTCCTGGACCAGAAACACGGTGAGTACTACTGGTGTGGCCAGAACTTCAAGGGGTCAGACAGACATGGCATTGGCCTTCATGGTCCTCCTTTGTCTCAGCTCAGAAATCTTTGCTGAAGAACCCTTCTGTGGCTGTGCCCGGGACAACTGCCCTCAGAGGCCAAAAGGGATGAATGTGTAGCAGACTGTAACTAATGCTGGCGAGGGAGACTCAAATCACAGTCTTCATCCTCTGCTTGTGAAGGGGGTTTTTGCCTGATTTGTTCCCAACTTGTCTCCACTACAGTGCAAGACATCGTGTTCCAGCTCCAGCGTTTTGTCTCCACAATGTCTAAGTACTACGACGACTGCTATGCCGTGCTTCGAGATGCGGATGTCTTTCCCATTGAGGTGGACCTTGCCCGCACTACTCTTAACTATGGGCAGAAGGACATGTACACGGATGGGGCAGAAGAAGAAGGAGGAAGCGAGAAGAGAGAGGGTAGTGGGAAGGAAGACGTGAATGGTGAAAAGCTCATCGATGATGCCTGAGTGCGCCAGCGTGGCCAGAGGAAAGACTTTACAGACTATTATAAAAACATGTATTTTACATGGCAATTCATCCTCTGTGACTTTCTGTGTATGTCCAGCCTGGGACTCCTGCTCTGCTTTGGGTGGGGGTGGCTGATTGGATTGGGACTAACCTCTGCTTTTCTCTCTTTTCCCTTGCTTGTTTGCCTGGATATTTCTTTCCACCCCCCACCCCTGAGACTTCTTCCTGCCCAGCTCAGGTACTGAGGTGTGGGGAGGAAGATCCCCTAGCACACCACCATGCGACTCTGTGTGCAGACAGGACACTGCTGAGCGTGCCAGCCACACCACTCCCCTCTGGCACATGAAAGCCAGTTACACATCTGGAGATAATTGCAAATGGCGAGGACAGCCCCCTCTGTCCTCCCCTGGCATTATGGGAAGGTGTTAGCACCAGCATTGTTTACTTCACCCCACTGCTTGCTGTCTTCAAGCTTCCCATTCTCTGGCCTGTTGTAAACTTCCTCTCTCTTTCATCTGTCCTCATGGACTGCGTGACTGATTTTGTAGGATGATCACTGCCGCCACTCCCAGCTCTCTGCCCCACTGTTTTTAAGAAATAGGAGCAAGTCCAAATGGATACCTAGAACCAGTGGTGGTACATCTCATCGGATCACTCCCCGCCAAGGGGCTGGGGGAAGCTCTCATACGCTGCGCTGCTGCAACCCTGCTGCAAAGACGTAGAAGTCTCTTCCCCTAGCTACCATGCCTCTCATCATCCCTGAGCTCCTGTGCAGCTGGTGCCATGTGCATGCCCCATAGCTACACACCAGGGCTAGAATCCTGCAGGATGTGGCTCTGCCCTTCCCTGTGGGAAGGAGGGACCTAGTTCAGGAAGGAGCCCCCCCCTACTCGGCTGACATGCTGAGGGGTGAGCATGCTTGTCTGAGGCAGGTGGGTTCCTGGGAGTAACAGCAAAGTTGCACACATCCCCTTTCCATCGTTCTCTGTTACAGCTCTTTGCAATGGACAATAACCAAACATGCTTCTAGAGGATGTGCAGCTAGTCCTGCACATGCTTTCATTGTGCAGCTGCCAGGAGGAGCCACCTTAGAACTGCAAAGGAGACATCCCATCCTTATACTAAAGACGAGAGACAGGAAGCCTTATGGAGAGAACAAGACATGGCCTGTAGGCAGAGGCTTTGAGATTTTTTTAGTGCAGAGTGTGACTAGCATACCATCTCCTGCTCTCCTCTCTGCACGGCCATTTCATGCTGCCTCAGCCAGTCAGAAGCAGTACCTAATGTCCTGTTACCCAGCACAAGGGAAGGGGGGAAAGAAAAACCAAGGTAAGTGAGGCTGTTTCTTTCCTCCTTCCTTTTCTCCTCCCTCGATCCCTGTGGGCTGATCCCAGCTGCAGATGGCACTTTCTATTTTAGCAGGCACCACAACTGCTAGGAGTGGTGTGCTGCTTGGAGGCAAGGGTTTTGACTTCTCTGTCATTACATTCTAGTGGTAGTGAGAGAGGTTATTTAAGGGCATTAATTTATGATTAAGATATTTGTTTTTTCTCTTTGATTTGGTTTTGGAGCTTTGTCATCTCTGTGGGTGCCTGGAAGCAAGCCATCCATGGTCAAGCTGCTCTCAAAGATTTAAATGGACTTTGATGTACTGACTGTTGTCTCTAATAAAGAAAAATGTGACATTCTGCTTCCTGTCCTTCATGGTTTTCTTTAGTAAGATTTTTGCTCATCCTTCTTTGGTTTTAATCTTAAAATACAATGATGGGAATGAGGAGTGTCATGTTCTGGCCATTATTTTCTTGTTCATGCTGGTGGATAAGCTCTATGCCAAGAGGCAGTGGTTACTGGACCACAGGTTTCCAGAGAGGCTTATAAATGCTGTAGCAAGGCTCGTCTTCCATGTAGTACCAGCTTCTCTGCATCTTGGCTTCCCAGAGGAATGCCAGCCTTGCAAAGCCACCTGTTGCCTTAGTCCTGCCTGGTGCTATCCTTGCACCCCTCCAGGACCAGCTTCTCCACACAGCTCAGCTGTTGTATCACAAACTTGAGCTGATGCTTAAGTCCCTGATCTGCTTTCAGAGCTGTTTGTTGCTAAAATATGAAGTGGTTAAGAGGAACAGAGAAAATGCTTCAGTGGAGCCTGCCTGAAAGCAATGCCAAGTGGAAAGCAGTGTAGCCAGGTTTTTTGCAGCCTGACTGCTGGAGGGGAGGGAAGAGATCTGTAGCAAGAGATTGTCCCTTAAGGGCAATTGCCTTTTGTGAAAAGATTTAAGAGCAGGAATCTTAGTGGGAAATGTTGACTGGTAACAAGAAAACAGAGGGGACCTTGTTCCAGTGACCTGCCTGGTGCTGAGAGGGGCAGTTGTTTTCAGGCTGTGGACCTCGGACCTCTGGGAAGTTGTGAGCTGCTTCTTGGAGGGGCCATTGGTGAACAAGGAAGACCCGGCCTGGGTGACAGGGGTGGCTGGGGAAAGAGCTGTAGAGCAACTTGGTGGAATAGAGCAGAAACAGTGATCTTACCTTCTGGGGAGGGGAGAACAAGCTTGCAGAGCAGTGAATGAATGCTTACAGGGCTCCGTCACCCTTGCTGCTGCTCAGTCTCATTCTTGCTCATTCTCCCAGAGCTTTGCAGCTGTGGGGTTGTCGTGGTGCTTAGTCAGATTTGGGATGTTTCTAAGGGGGTTTGAATAGGAAAAAGTCCAAAGTCACTGCTGTGACTGACACAATCAGAGCTAACACTGGTGGGGGTGGTAGCCATGGTGGGACAGGGCACAGCCCCATGGTGATTATCTTCACTTTCCAATTCTTATGTCTCTTCTTAAACTGACATTCTTCAGTAGCTTTATTTTGCTTGTCATTTACTGCTCTTTGCTTGGGAGTATCTAGAATGAAACCCTTTCCTTCATGTCCCCACTTCCCCTCTGGGTTTCAATGGCTTTATGGGTCCTGCAGGCTTTGCCCATTACCCATTTATTTGTAGTCAGTCTGGTCTGGAATGAAACACCCATCTTGATGGTCCCATGAGCTGTTTCCCTGTAGCCCTCTGCTTAGTTTTTGATCCCTCTCTATAGTCACAGGTTCCCCCAGGGCCTCTGAGGTGAAGCAGTTCAGGAAACCGGAAGAAAGGGCTTTGGCCAGGGATGTTTATAAAAGATCCAGTCCTAAAGCAGATTAGGAGTGGTTTAAACATGCCAGGGAAGGTTGTCCTCTCTGAATCTAGAAATCCACCACTGCAAGCAGGGGTGAGGGGGTCATGCCTGCCTTACCACGTGCTCCAACACCCTCGTTATCCTTAGTGGCACACAGGCTTGTCCTTTCTGCCTTACCTTTGATTCCTTTATGTAAGGGGGTGTTCTCTATTTAAAAGAAAAACACACGCGCATCTGGTGCCATTCCTGCTGAGTGGGTAATCGCTTTGGACACTGTGCCATTATTTACCTGCCCTGAAACCTCCACCCTCACAGGGACCAAGTTGTTCCCTTCACATGTCAACAGGACTCACTTCAGCCCAGATAAAGCCGGCTCGCTTCTATTCCTGTCAGTGAGGCTCTGTCTCATGGCTGCTCACCCAATGGCATTAGTCTTTCAACTCAGCACTTACCTACTTGGAAAAGCAGCATCATGTGTCACTGCTGCAGCTTTACCACCTGCAAAAGATGCTCCAGAGGTGGTTGGAGCCAGTGTCCCACCAGTCTGGCAGTGCCCAAGGAAGGTATTGCAGGAAACGTGGTGTCTACCCCCATGCTGGCTGCAGCTGGAGGTGGCCCAGATGACAGCTATGAATTACACCACCTCCTAAACCTACCGCCAGCTTGGCTGGTGCTATCCTGACCGTGGAAGTGGGGCGGAAGAAACACTGACATCATACCAAAGCATCAGATCTGATTACAAAGAGTCTCTAATTGTTTGTGTTCTGTATTGTGACAATGCAGACGGAAAAGGAGAGTCCTCGGCAGTCTCTTAAAAGACTTTCTCCAGGGCTGATTTGGAAGTGAGGAAAGAAGATTATTTTTTTTTTCTTTTTTCTTTTTTTTTTTTTTTTTTTTTTTTTTTTTTTTTTTTTTTTTTTTTCTTCTTTTTGGTGTTTGGGCTGCTCTGAGCCTGTGTTGTATCAACATGGGTGCAGGATGCAAGCAGATGTATCACCAGGTGGGTATGTGGACATATGTACATAAGGACCAGCTATTCTTATACCTCTTTCTTTTACTTCTTACATCTGCTTTTGTCTGAACTTTCTCCACCCTGTATTCCAGTTACCCTCCGACACTGAGGTGCATGCAAACAAGGCCAGTTTTATACCTCCATTTTCCTCTGCCCTGGCTAAAACCTGTCCCTCTCCACCATCTGGTCAGCATTGCAGCCGTCTCGTGCCAACACCTCCCCGTCCCCCTTGGGACACCCACCTCCCTCCCCGCTCTGCTCCTCTGCCACATGATTGGCCTCCTCACTGGCTGCTACTGTGGTGGTGTCAGTGTTGTGGGCCAGCTGATGGTTGTCGCTGCTGTGCTCCTCGGCTTCCTGCACGTCAGACTCTGCTTCCTCAGTGTCACTCCCACCGCCTGCAGAGGGGTTCTTCTCCAGGGGAGGCTCCTTCTTCTCCCCTCGGTTCAGGCAGCAGTAGGTTGCTGTAGCCAGGAAGATAGCAGACAGCACCACCTCTGAGCCTGCCAGGTAGAAGATCACCTCATAGTTCTTGAGAGCGTCAACCAAGCGGCCTGATGGAGAAGCGAGACAGTTACCCTCAGCCTACAAACTCCTGCATGGACAGTCCAGCACAGGGGGGCAGCACCTGCATTTGGCTGACAATCCATTTCTCAAGGGAAGTGCAAAAAGCCTGAATATCTAAAAATCACCATGGGTGAGCCACACTGTACCACCAGTGAAAGTACTGTAAGAGTGCATGGTTGGTGTTTTCCCTAATTTGGACAAAATTAAATAATTGTGAAACACTGATGTTATAGTCTCACGTCATGGTGGGCCATCTTGTTGCCAAGGTGAGATGAGCCTCTGCAGACTTGTTCACTCTCAGAAAAGAAACAAAATTTGAGAGGCTTTCTTAAGCTACCATGTCGGGAAAACATTTAGAGGGGGAGAAGAAACATCTCTTTGGCAGAGAAATTGCTTTGGTTGGCCCACACCTGATGATTTCTCTGCCAAAGAGATGTTCTCAATGTATCTTCCGAATGCACTGGAGCTGGCAATGGAGGGAGGATTCCCAGTCCTCAATGCTGGGGAGCTTGAGCAGCTGCCCCATTACGGTCAGGATGTCACCCACTGAGCTAGGGTGGGGTCATGATGGCCAGAGGCTTCATCCCAGTCCCTCGTGCTCCTGACTGCACGTGACCCCCCAGTCCCTGAAACCAGCCCCAGGGCACACGGAGGTGCCTCCCAGAGCAGTCATGAGAGGCATGTGGCGAATTCCTCAGGGGGTGAATGTGCCCCTATTCACCCAAGCTGGATGGCAAACAAGGAGCCTGCATGCATGCACGCACGCACACACGTGTGTGTGCGGGTGGGTGTGTGTGCGCGCACGCAGCTTATCCTGTGCCAAACCCCCTCAGCCCCACAGAGCGGGAAGCAGCTCAGGCGGATTAACACCAAACAAAGCCACTTTGTTCAGCCCCCTTCTTCCAGCTGAGCCTGCTCCCCCAACTTGGAGCTGTAGGGTTTGACAGCACACTCAGGTTTCCCGTACCACGGGGGTCCTGCAGCAGCAGGTCCTCCTGGGGGGAAGGTGGGAACCATAACTTAGGTCCCCTCAAAACCATTCTTCAGTGACCCTGCACTGTCTGCGTCCCATTGTGTACATGCACAAGTGTATTGTGTACAGTACCAAGGCAGCGCTGAACTGAGGCAGGAGGGCTAAGGGATGTCACCTACCACCACCCACTGGTGTGCCTTCTCCTTGGAGCAAGGTGGTGTTAAATCCCCTTCTCTCCCCATGATTTCTCTGCAGCTGCCTCCAAGACACATATTTCTTGACCCTCCGTGGCCTGAGACTGCTGACTGCCCCACTGGGGGAGCTGGGATGTGAAGAGGGTCTTCTCTTGGACACCAATTTTTACCTGAGAGTTGAGTGGAGTTGCTGAGGGCAGATTTTGCTCATAACTCAGTCTGTACTGGGGAAAAGATCATTCACACGGAGATCTTTAGTGATGGGCTTTAGCCCACATGTTGCAGGTGAAGGAAAGGAGAGCATGAAGCAGTGGAGTGGTCCCTGCCCAAGTGTTTGCCCATGGTCTGTCCCTGACCCTTCCTCACAAAAGACACGTGCAGGAAACTATGCTTCATGCTAAAGGATCATTTCCAGATGATTTGGCTTTCTCAGACCTGAGCAAACACTTAAGAGGAACCTACACCAGCCTCTTGGGTGAAGGGTATCTCTCCCCATTCAACAGCCTACTTATGGGCTGTTTTTGGGGCATGGACCTTATCAGGGACTGTGGCCTAGACTAGACTGGTTGAGAAGCTGTGGGTGTCTTAATCCTCTTAAGAAAAAGTAACAGCAGATGCCTCAGGTGGATCTACACACTGTTTTAAATTGATTGCACCAAAATGCCTGTGCCTTGGGGTTGGGACCAACACAAACTGAGATCATTATTCACAGCAGCAAACAAAAGACCATGGACACAAATGAGAATTTGAAAGATCCTTGCCTTGTCCTACTTAAGACCCTCAAAGGTTTGCCTGCAGGATGTGCCTGACCCTACTGATAACATTTTATGCAACATTTGCAGTGAAGGCGGAGACAGGGGGAAGTGCCACGATTGAGGGACACTGGAATTGTGCCACTCTGGATAGCTCTATATGCCTGCTATCACTCAGGTCTCTGAGCAAAGCAGAGAGAGAAATATCACTTGCTGTCTTCTGCCCCTGCTCAGATTCGGTGTGGTGCATGGAGTGAGACTGGGAGCTCTCACTTCAGATCTCCGCTTCCAGAGGAATTTTGAAATTGATAAATAGGGTGTTTCTTCAAGTACAGTGCCCATGCCCAATACCTGCAATACTGTGGAATGGCAGCCAAACTAATCACCTGTGTTTTGCAGCAGGAAACCTACCTGCAGAGGGCGGACCGATGAGCACAGCAAAAGCCTCGATAAGTAGGACCAGCCCGATGGCGCTGGAGAACTTCTGGGATCCAACAATGGCCATCAGCACCTCAAACTGCAGTGCCCCCACCATGCCATAAGAGATGCCAAAAAAGACACAGAAGATGACCAGCCCTGTGTAATTGCTAGCTCTGGCGCTGCAGATGTCTGTCAAGCCATTGAAGAGCATAGCAAAGCTGAACAGGTATGCCACATGAGGACGGACCCACTTCAACCCTGCCACCATGCCACAGGCTGGGCGGGCAAAGATGTCTATGAAACCAATGATGGAGAGCAGGAAGGCAGCCTCTGTGTCTGGTACACCAGTGTCCTTGGCGTAGTTGACCAGCAATATGGGGGGCACGAAGAGACCTAGAACCAGGATGAACTTTGAAATAGTGTAAATGATAAACCCTCGGTTGGAAAAGATACTAAAATCCAGAAGCTTCTTTCCTTTCTTGGGCTTCTTCTTGGTTTTCTTGGCTTTCTTGGTTCCATCAGTGGTGCTGATTCCCTCCTCTGATTTCCCTCCTACAGGCAGCATCTCCTTGGCTTCATATTTGTCCTGAGCTTTCTCCATCTTCCGTTTCATGCCCATATCCAGTGGTCTCATGACTGCCCCACAAGTGCAGCAGTTAAGCAGAAGACCCCCCATGATAAGGAACCCTCCTCGCCAACCAAACTTCTCCAGAAGCACTTGCCCCAGTGGAGAAAGGGAGGAAAGGAAGACAGGGCTCCCAGCAGCAGCCAGTCCATTGGCAAGAGGCCGACGCTTGTCAAAGTAGGTGCCCAGCATGATCAGTGAGGGCTGGAAGTTCAATGCCATACCCAGACCTACATGAGGATGAGAGCCAGGAGGGAGACAGGAGGGGAAAGAACATGAGACATGCTTTGCAACAAGTTGAAAACTCCCCTCAGTCTATCCTAGTCCTGAAGTCCCATGATGGGATTCAGGTGTTTCTTACAAGTCTCTGCTCCTTCGTGTTGGTGGGTTACCCCGGGAGAAGATGGGCTAAAACAGCCTGACTACCTGAAGTGTATTTGAATCAGGTAACTGTGGCCATGTTTAGACAAGACATCTGCCTTAAGCAGGAACTTTGCCTCTCTCCCCTACCACTATATACTGATGCCACCCCAGCTGCCATGATCACTGAGCATCACTTATGTTTCTTCTGTTCCTCTCACCTCAACAACAGGCCCTGCCTGTTTAGATCCAGCCAGTGCTTCTCCCACAGGTGCAACATTCAGGACTAGATGCCTCCTGTGATCAGGTGTGAATAGGGGAGGGGAGACCTGATGCTAAACATGCCAATGCCAAAGGGAGATACAATGTGGTCTTGGCTCTTCCCCAGGTAAGTCTGTGCCTCCCTCCAACTCCTGGGGCTCTCACCCGTCAACACACCAGCTGTCAGATAAAGCTCAATGATATTGGTGGTAAAAGATGCCAGGATCATCCCAGAAGAAGCTAGCAGTCCACCGATGAGCATCACAGGCCGGCAGCCAAACTGGTTCACCATGATGCTGCATACTGGTCCTGGGAGAAAGCAGAGGAGACAGAGTAGGAGATCAAGAGACAGGACATCTGGGAAGGGGCAGCCAACACCATCTTGGGGAAGCTGAAACACCGATGATGGAATTCACTATTTGGCTGCTTAGACACACATCTGTTGGGCCCAGCCACGGGAGACAGATTGCAGTGTGGAGACCTCTGCTTTGCCCTGCTTTCAGCCCCCTGTTCCCTGTAAACGAGAGGGGCTTGGTGTAGTAGGGGCAGCTCTTCAGCAATA